GATGGTGGTAAGACTAGGACTTACAGGGTATTCCTGTCAAATTTACAAGAAAATCTTACTTGGCAACATCCTGCATTAGCCCAGATAACAATAGGAGCTGTAGCTTCTGTTTTCCACTGTCTTTTTTTCTCTGTGTTCACTAGAGAATCATTCTCTCTGGGATAAGATCAGGGATGCCTGGACCAAGCCCACTGATGAACCATCAGTTGGTCCCTGGCTCCTAATGGAGTGGGGGAGTTGTCTCCTTTTTCTTCCGTTCGACCTGAGGGATGCGAAGATTCTGACCTGCCTCCTTGCTCTGTTCTCCCATCCAGATTTAGGTCAAGTAGGTGATAATCTCTGAAGGCGAGTCAGTGCTTTCTTTCCACCTGAAAAATTTCTTTCCACTTCGTTAAGTGTGCTGAGATCTGACACTTGGAATATAGGTGTGAATTGCAGAGTCCTGATCACAATCCAGTGCTATTAGTTAATTTGCTATTAATTCGCCATAGTCTACCAAACTCCCATCTTTGAGCGCTAGTGGGATGCTCACTACCAGGTCAGATAACCCATCCCAGATGGATCACATTTCTGTGGAGATCTGTTGCCCACAATTCACTCTCTGCTACCAACTTTTTAATCAGTTGGGATTTGGAGGTACAAGTAACCAAAACTGACTCGGACTAACTCAGACAGAAAATCAATTTCTTAGAAGTATGTTGGGTAGCTCAAAGAATTTATAAGAAGGCTGGAGGACTGAAATCAGAAAATAGACAGTCCAGGCAGAAAGATCCCCAGCCCAGGTCATGGTATGTGGCCATCGATTTGACAAATGTGTTTTTCTCCATTCTGATTTAAAAGGAGGATCAGAAACTGTTTTCATTCTCGCTTGACAGATAAGATTATTCATTTACAGTTTTGTCTTGCAGTTATATTAACTCACCCACCCTTTGTCGTAACATAGTCCCAAGAGCTCTGTATCACCTGGACCTCTCAAAGAACATCACACGGATCGGTTATGTTGGTGACATCCTGGTGATCAGACATTATGATGAGCAAAAGAAGCCATACATCAAAAAGTGCATGCCGTGTGTTTTCATTTATGTAAAACTTTAATACAGGCAAAACAAATCTGTAGTCATAGAAATGTGATAGTCATAGATATCACAGACATCGTAGATCAGTGATTGCCTGACGCTGGGCTGGGGAGGAAGCTATCTGCAAAGGCCACAAGGGAACTTTCTGGGGTGATGGAAATGGTCTATATCTTAATTGTGGTTGTAATTATCAGGTTAGCCAAAAACTTCGTTTGGGTTTTTCCTTAAGATGTTATGAAAAAACCTGAATGAACACTTTGGACAACACAATACATTTTTTAAAATTCATCAACATGCACACTTAAGTTGAATGCACTTTATACTTCAATAAAATTGAGCTATTGCCCATGTAGGTTAGCCTTAGTTTCAAGGATTCTTGGGCCCTAGAACTGTTGTTTCCCATCTTTTTTCTGAGGGATAGGATACCTTATAGGTGTCCTGGAGGGGGAGCCCATGGATCGAATACATTTGAGAATCACTGATTTAAATAAAGTTAAACAGATGTCTACATTAAAGGGTTTCTCACAGACCCTACATGCCAACGCACATTAGAAATCTTTAATCGGACGTATAGAGGGGGCATTCCCTGCTTCCCTGGAGTGGCTGCCCTAGAGTCTTCTCCGGGCCCTGGTTCTGCCCTAGATCCAGTTTCCACACACTTCCAGCTCCCAACTGCCAGCCTGGCTCCGACATACTTTCCTGCCTGGAGTTCTGCTGCCTCTACCACTGCATGATTTCAGTTTATATTCAGATTTCCTTTGATTTCAATTTTCTTTGGTAATCATTTTATCCTGACAAAGTACAGGCATTTCTGAGTCACCGCACCTCCCCTTTGTCCTTTTGTTTGTTTTTTTCAGTTTGATGATTTCTAGTAAATTTATTCAGTTGTGTAACAATCACCATCACCACAATTCAGTTTAGGTTCATTTTCATCACCCCAGAAAGTATAGAAGGAGGACGAGTCCTGGGGAAATAAACGTGGGTAAGGAGGCAAATAGATGGTGGATTCCCAGTTCCCGGGGACCCTGGGGCTGGACCCTATGCCTCCTCCCCTTTGTACCCACCTCCCCAGGATGGGCCCGATAGGCAGCAACCCCCGCCGCCGCCCCCCAAATGACCTGGGAATCTCACGAGTTTCCGGAGGTGGATGGAGGCTGCAGGCACTGCGTGCGGCCTTGTCTTTAGCTCTGCTCGATCTGCCCAATTACTTTCACTTTCCTTTCCTCAGAAGCCTGGCCCTCACCGCGTGTGGAAAAGCACAGACTTCCTGTTTCGCCCACTGGTATCTCCCTGCCCTTCTCCCAGTCTCCCAGGAGCCGTCCCTGACCAGCCCCTGGACCCAGAGGGGGCAGGAACAGGTAGCCATCTCAGCATCCAGGTGGGTTTTCGTCTCGGCTGCTTTATTCACTTTTGGTGATTGGCTTTTACAGTTAAGGTCCTGGCAGCAGCTGCAGGGTGAAACTCAACAGTTTAAACTGTAAGGCTCTTTCTTTGTAAAATAATGTTTTCCAAAGAGGTAGAGAGGGGATATGGGATTTAATGGGAGACTTAAAAAGAAGACGGATGAAGCGGGGAGCAAACACACAGTTCAGTTCTTCTTTCCCT